ATGCTGTATCCTGACTGGGACTGACTCTTGCACAGGTGGACCAGCTTTTTAAGAAGTTCTTAGGGCAGTGGGCTGTGCCCTAGGGACATGCAAATCAGCAGGGTTTGTGCAGCGCTGGACACAGCTGCAAGCCTCTTTCATCTCAGCAGCTCAGCACAGTCCCAGTAATTCTAGATATTCTGGGTCTGATCAGAATGGCACAAATTTGCTTGAAAAAAATGTTTTCTCCCTAGTGACCATAGGGTAGATTCATTCTTCTGGCCATTGTTCCGCTGCTACCTTCAAGCTTTATCACACCTCTTGCTGTCTCTCCATCTATAACAGGGTCTGTCAGAAAACATCCCAGAAACTGAGTCACCCATTTGGGACCAATCCTAGAAATCCAGGAGCTATTCTTCTTCCTCTTATTTCCCATAGAAACTCTCCTAACCTCCTCCTTTGGGTCATGACTTCATTTCTCAACATTTGTAGAAGCATGAGATTGACACATATGGCTACAAAGGAGGTAGCACGGAGATCTGAGATGAATAAGAGGTACGCCCCAATGGGGATATTTTATCATATTTTTTCTCTTGTTATGTGTTTTTTCTAAACCATGATGCCATTTAAGAGGTAGGGATTTGTGCTCTGACTTTACTGGATAGCCTTATAGCCTTTTGTCTCTTCCATCATTTCCTGATGGTAGAGTAGATCTGTGGAACAATATGACTCATATGAAAAGGCAGAACTTCCTTGGCTATGTAAAGGTGATTAATGTAGCCACTGGTCTAAAATCTGGCACAGGTTTTATTGGGAAAGTCTGGCCTAATCCCTCTTCTATTCTGTGGAAGGGCATGTCAAGCCTGTCTATCTCTCTTTCCTTTTGGATTTGATCCTCCACGGGTGAGGGGGAAATTTTAGCTCTTAATACTCCCACTTTTGGTCTTTAAAGACTGAGGAGAATGAGAACTCTTGGGTGAATTCCTCTATTACTTGGACACAAGTGTAATGAGGAAAAAGAATAAAAAACTTTCACTGGTAAAAGACATTTAACTCTAGCTTTCTCTTGCCTATTTTTCTTTTCCTTCTGTTTTTTCTTTTCTTTCTTTTGAAGGCATGCTTTTACTAAAGACCAGACAGAGAAGGCCACCCTGAGAAAGTTTTTAGTCCCAAATTTCTCTATCTTCCTGCTCTTAATGTAGATCTGAAAACTAGGGAATATCTCCACTCTGTTCTCTTCCCCCTCTCCTTCAAAAATATTCCTTAGGCAGTGTGGACTAATGGGTTTTTTAAAGGCAAAACCATCCCAGCACAGGTGAATACATTAGCAGATCTGAAAACAGCCTTTTAGATTCACAGGGGAAGATGACGGCTTTAGGCAGAATGGACTTTAAGGGAGCCAAGAGCTGCCTGTCTTGCCATAGTTTCTTTCTGGAAGTGTCACCAAGCCAACAAACACTAAATGAGAGCCAGAAGTTCCACCGAAGTTAGTATGAGCTAAAGAACTGTGAAAAAGGGAGCACTTAAGCAGGGGGAAGAGGAGTATTCCCTAGGACAACTCCAGCCCCTACTGGTTGCCCTGGTAGGATCAGAGCTGGGGGTGCCCCAGGCAAATGGTTGAAACAGGCAGGTGAAAGGGACACCTCTCCCTGCTTGTCTTCCAGAATGGAAAACTCAACTAGGCAGCTTCTCCATCCCTGGGGCTTTTATATTGACTCAATGGAACTCACTTGACGCCCAGAGCTTAAAGAAAGATTGCCCAATCTTTTTATGAATTCTGAACTCATCTTTCAGTTAGATCAGTTCTGAAAGAGAGGGAAAATGGTCAGAAGTTTCCTGTATCCAGGCACTTTTTGCTTTAAGAAGCAGTGCCGAGCTGCTCAAACAATGGAAGTTGGAGCCCATGTCACTTGCAGGCTCACAGAGCCCTGTTGAGACTCACATAGCTCCATCTAAGCCTTTTTGTCCACCCAAAAAACTCAGTGGCCACCCAGGCCCAGCAAAGCCTCCATGAGGGGACTCTACCATCTTCAGGAGATGAAATAGGGAGAGTTTGGTGTTCTCTGAGTCTACATGCCCTTTTTCTTGACAGACTTAAGATAGATGTAACAGGATTTAGGAAGGTTTCCTGATAATCCTGATAAGTACATAGAGACATTTCAAAGTTTAACTCAATCTTTCAACCTAGCATGGAAGGATATTAATCTTCTTTTAAATCAAACATTAATCCCTAATGAAAGCATGAAGGCTTACATACAGCAGAGGTCTTTTGAGATGAGTTACATATGATTTATTATAGGAGGGCAAAGGAACAGCAGCCAGGGAAAGACCATTTCCCACAGGGACTCAGGGCACCCCAGAAGACTCCACTCAGACCCTGATGACAGCAAGGATGAAAGGGCACAGTAAGTATCTCCAGGCCTGTATCTTGGAAGACTTGTGAAGGATTCATTACTAACTGCACAGAATAATTGTCTTCAACTTTTTACTATTAAATCATGCCTGTTATTAGAGGTAAAGTGCTTGGTTACAGAATACATATGTACCCTTTTTTTATCTGTTCTACCAATCTATGCCCTTTGGTTGGAAAGCTTAATCTATTTATGTTTAAGGGGATTACACATAGTAAGGATTTGCTTTTGCCACTTGTTCTTTTGGCATTTTGGACTTTCATCACCTCACTACTAGCACCTTTCCCTTTATTTGATATTTCATTGTGACACATTTTGATTCATATCCCCTTTTCTTTTTATGTATGTTACAGTTGCTTATTTGTGGTGATTCCTTTTTCTTTTTTGATACTACAGATTTTAAATGTAACATCTGAAACTTATTGAAATATGTCTTAAATTTATGCCATTTTAACCTCAATCACCTTAACCTAATCCACCTCTTTCTCATCTTCACTTCATGTGTGCTACTAATATCACAAATTAAATCTTGATGTATGGTGTACCACTTAATATAGTGTGAATATTCCTTGTGATATGTTGACTGGATTAAGAAATGCCCAGGAGATTAGTGAAGTACACATCTGATGTGTCTGGGTGTGTCATGGTTTATGACCTTGGGTACTATAATACATGACCTCTGGCCCCTTTCCTCTGACATTTTTTCCCTCTTCAGCTTCCTGACTGCCATGAACCAAGGATCTTTGCTCTGCCATGCTCTTTCTCAAAGAAGTTCCATTTTGGAGCTCAGAAATCATGGGCTGAATGCCCTGAAACCATGAGCCAAATTAAACCTCTACACCTTCAAGTAGTGAATGTCAGATTTTGTGTCCCAGGAAGAAAAATTTGACTAACACAATCATCATTATTTTATGTATTTTTAATGTTTTTAGAAAATAAAACTGTACAATTACAGTTATATTAGTTTCATATAATCCTATGTTTGCTTTTATCAGAGAATTTATGTTTTCAAATGGCATCTAGTGATTTTGGAGCCTCTTTATTTTGATTTCAAACACTTCATTTCATATTTTTTATAAGGTAAAACTAGTGATAATGGACTCCTTACACTTTAGTTTGTCTGGAAATGTTTTAATTGATCCTAATTTATGCATGGTAATTTTTCCAGATATTGAATTATCATTTTCATTATTTTCAATATAACATTGTTAAAATGAAAACAATGGAATATTAATTTTTATGAGAGTAACATGATTAGTATTTCACAGCCTTCACCAAATCTGGTAGGAGAGCAATTCAACTTCACAGAGGTTTGTGTGCCACCTTTTCTTGATGCAGAATGAGTGAGTTTTGTCCTCTTAATCAGGACAACTACCACCTGTGCACATGATAAAATTGGAATTTACACACTTTAATATATTATTTTGTTATGAATAAGTTGCTTTGTCCAATGGTTATTGTTAAGAGCTTTTTGACATTGATGACAACACTCAGAAAGTCTTCAAATGATATTTGTGGGAGAAAAAGATTCACAAGAAAGACAAATGGATTTATACAAAATCACTGTTTTCCCAATGTTGTTAGGTTCACTATAGTCAACTAAATACCCATTATTAGTCTGATCTGTACTACAATATTAGTGGCCTGGCCAAAAGGGATCAGAATTCTTGGAAAGGTGGTTGCTTAGAAGTTATAAAAATCACCTTATTCAGAGGAAGAGATAAAGAGAAGAAACAGAAAAATCATCCCACTTCTTTTGCATTTTCAGATCCATCTGGGACCACAAACTATTGAATCATGCTGCTCTCAATCAGGGAAGCTTTTCCTCAGTCTTCCTGGAGACACTCTCACAGATGCATCCAAAAATACACTTTTCTAATACTCTAGGTGTCTTTCAATCAAGTTAACACCCTAAATTAATCATACTAATGTCTTAACTTCACTATGCAGAGGTAATAATCTCTGTTAATTAAAACAAGAAACATATTTGTCAGTTCTCTGCTGGTGAGGTTGAGGTAGAAAAAAATCTTAAGGAAAAGAGCAGCTTCCCTGAACCCTTACCAAAATTACTTTTATGGCTGCATAGGAGGAAAGTTTCAGCAGACAGAGGCACCAGTAGGAGCAGCTGATGCAGCCCAGCTTCATACTTCCCTAGATGATTTATGCTATGACTTATATCACTGTGGGAGGGTAATTGTAACTCTGCGCACAGTAATAAACTGCAACATCTTCAGGTTTCAGGCTACTGATGGTGAGAGAATAATCTGTCCCAGATCCACTGCCACTGAACCTTGGTGGGACCCCAGATTGCAAATTAGATGCAGAATAGATTAGAAGCTTAGGAACTTTCCCTGCTTTCTGCTGATACCATTCTAAATTGCTGTAAATATCCTGACTGGCCTGGCAAGTGATGGTGACTCTGTCTCCTGGTGACACAGAGAGGAAGAATGGAGACTGGGTCATCTGGATGTCACATATGGCACCTGAAATTGGAAGCATAAAAAACGAAGATACACATCATCAATTCATGTTATAAGAAAACTTCCTTGACGGGCCAGGCTGCACTAATCACACAAGGCTGAGTAAATTCACAGTAGTGTCCCTCCTTACCTGGGAGCCAGAGCACCAGGAGCCCCAGGAGCTGAGTGGGGGCCCTCATGTTCATGCTGTGTCCTGACTGGGACTGACTCCTGCAAAGGGAGTGAGCAGCCTATGAAGAAGTCCTCAGGGAAGTGGGCTGTGCCCTGGGAACATGCAAATCAGCAGGGCCTGGGCAGGGCTGGGCACAGCTGCAGGGCTGTCTCATCTCAGTAACTCAGCACAGGCCTAGGGCCCTAGGTGTCCCATGCAAGACCAGGGTAGTGAAGATTTGTTTCAGTAGTTTGTGTTTTCCCCTGGGGTTACAGGATGGAATCAGTCAGTTGCCCTGTGGTTAGTGATCTATTGATCTCTTCAGGGTTCTAAACAAGTGGGTTTTTCTTATTACTAATTACAAGTCTGTGTAATGACTCTTGGAGATAGGAGGAATTAAGGAAAACATGGATCTTTCATTCTTAAGATATAAAGAGAGAAATTAAGATAAGAGTAGATTTTATAAACTATTTAAAGGAGTCTGGGTTCCTCCAGACAGTGAGGCAACATGCCTAAGACCCTAAGGGAGGATGTACTCAAGTATGGTTTCCAGCCATTCATAACCCAATCTCTCCAAAATAAACACAGAAGCATTTGATACTGACTGGACTCTTCTAAACATCAGACAGAAGTCATAGGCAAGCTCATCCTCTGAAGTATATTTTTTAATAAATTACAATAATTTAAAAACAAATGAGAAGCTGTGCATGGTGACAGAAGTCTGTAATCCCAGTATCCTGGGAGGCTGAGGCTGGAGGATCACAAATTTGAGCCCAGCCTGCAAAACTTAATGACACAACAAGTTTCTGCCTCAAAATAAAATAAGTAAATAAACAAATATGGGCTTGGAAGGTAGCGCAGTGTGAAGGTGGGTTCAGTCCCCAGTATCATATAAATCAATCAATCTAATCAATAAATTGAGAGAAACTACCCTAAGTCATAAACAGAAGTCTGAATGTTGGAAAATTTAGAACTGGTATAGTGGTTTGGTGACAGCAGAAGACCGAGAGCCTTTCTGTATTTCTGCATCACAATGACATTTCAATCTTTCCCTTAAAATCTCATGACATTGAAGGGCTGTAGTGACTCTGAGCAGTAAATATTCTCCTAATAATTCCTAGAAGAAACTCAGGGCAAAATTCTATATTTTTCCTCTTTTAAAAAGAATCTTTCACAGCAACTGTTTACCATACTCACTACCTTTGAACTTATTTCTCAACTGATTACAAGTGCCTTTGAATCCCTGGGCCTGTCTTGGTCTAGAAGTGGCTTACTGCGATTATTATACACTGGACAAAGCTGGTGCTCAGTAAGCCAAAGGAAAGTAGGCATAGTGGTTGTGTTGGTATGTTTTTAAATGTCCTATTTTAAAGGTCACTATGCTCATACTTTTAAGTTAGATAGGTAAGAGATGAAATTTTCATCTGCTGAGGTTGGAACAAGCCAGGCCCAATGGAGGATATGAAGTCAAATTTCTAATTATTCAAGTAGTAATGGTGGCTTCCACAAGTGTGGAAATGGAGCCTATAAATTTTAGGCCAGGACATACTTTCAGGCACTGGAATGAATGGGAGATTGGAACAGGGGCCTCAAACCAGGGCTGAGGTCAGGCTTGCAAATGGTGAGAGCTGCTGGGCTCTGGCCCTAGGCTGTGAAGGAAGTAGCTGCTTTTCTGACCCATGTGGCTAAGAACCTGGTAGGGGGAGGGAGGGCACAGAAGGAAAGTCCTCAACCTCCCCTCCCCAAGGTGCTGAACCAAGGGAAATTTCACACTCAGGATAAGAGTGTGAAAGAGCAGGACCTCAGTCAGAGCTGGGCTGGCTATTCTCAGAGCTATTCCCACCAATCCTAAGGGGACAAAAACAAGATAACAAGAAAATATTTCATCCCAGAGTCTTACTTCAGTAAACCTGTTTTGTTCTGAAAGATGAGTAGCACCTATCAAAAAAACCCCGTATATATCATGTATCCATTTGGTGCAAGTAATAAAGAAATTAATGTATTAATAAAGTATAATTATTTTGGTTTTTTGTTTTGGTACTGAGAATCGAACTCAGGGCCTTGTGGTTGCCAGGCAGGCACTACACCACTGAGCTACATCCCCAGCCCTGTAAAGTATAACTTTAATTGTTTCTATAATGAAACATTTTAAATTTTGGCAAGTTGAGTGTGAATATTGAGAATTCAATGAGTGCATCACCACCAAGCCCTTCCCCATTGCAGAGCCTGAGCATCATAAAATTCAGGACCTTCCCTCAGACCCCGTGGACCACGTAGTGACCCACCAACTGCTACATGACCATTGAGAGAAGAGGAACAGATCTGAAATCACAGCTCCTTTCCTACTGTCATACTTGCCCTCCTCTATGGGACACTTTGAGCGTATCTCTTCCTATTCCCCAGAGATTTCAGTGGGTTCTGTCCCCTCCTACTTAGAATTCACAAGGCTACTTCATCCTTACTGCATTCAGAATCACAGCTGTTGTTCCATTGCTGATGTCCATTGCTGATGTAACTCCAAACATCCTCATGGTAGGGCCATGTTTTCAGGGTATAGCTATGAATGATCACAAAGAAAACAGAAAATATGCAGGAAGTGGCACATGGAGGAGACATGGCCTACTGTGAAGAGTCCCAGCTGCTATACGGTCTCAGGGGCTGAACAGAGATCTGTACTAGGTTCCTGTTTGATAAGGGGAAAGTGTTACTTCTGCTTTCCCAGGGTTTCTAAGATCAAGTCCTTGTGCTTTGTTTACTGTTAAGTTTGTTCACCACCTAATGACAGGTTCGTGATTTAGCTAGCATTTTACAAGATTTTCCTTTTGGGTCCTTATATATTGATTTGAAAACTTCTCATTTTCATGAATGTGATCTTACTAGGCCAGATTCTGTATGATACTTAAATAATTCCTCTTCTCAAATGTCAAAATATTTAAGGACAAAAGATGATTAAGTTCACTTGGAATTCTGAAAAGTGTTCTCAGGACAGTTAAAATGCTAAATTGTATGATCCACTTAAGAGGTCCAAGACGGAGTTTTGAGAAAAAACAGGGGGCTCTGAGCAACCCCACGAGGAAGGGTGCAATGGTACACAGTGGGCAGAGGCTGACAGCTCCTGGTCTAGATCTTTGCCTTTCCCATCCCAGAAACCCTTCTAGAACTGGCTGTGAGAATCCCAAAAGCTCAGATGGGTCCTGTGCAGAGCTTCCATGTTCAGCAATATGGCTGCTGAGGCAGCAGGGGCAGTCTCAGGTACACTGTGACTCTGCATTCTGCCACCTCCCATACCATCTGCACAGGGTTTTGAGAAGGGGAACTGACTTGTCTCCAGAGCTCAGAGAACACCCCTGCTTCACCTGCCACCTCTTCCTTTGAAGCTGCTCTTGACCATCAGATTTGTGTATGACAGTTTGGACAATACCTGTTAGACACGGTTACACAGTTTTTAGTCAAAAACAATGAATCTGGAGAGAACAAAGCTAGTGTTCAGTAAGCCAAAGGAGGGGACCGGCTGCTGTGTATGTGTTAAGGAGTGTGGCCCCATTTTAAAGTTCAATGCATATCTAAGACATAAATCTGGTGTGGTTGAAAGAAGTCAGGTCCTGAAGATGACAAAGTCAAATTTCAATTATCAAAGAGGCAACGCTGGCTTCAATAAGTGTGGAAATGTGGCTTGTGAATTGAAGGCCAGCACAGACATGCAGGCACTGGAATAAATGTGAGTTTTGGAAAAGAGACCTCAAACCAGGACTTGGTTTGAGGTCAAGCCTGAGTGGCAGAAAGCTCTGGACTCTGGCCCAGGGTTGTAGAGGAAGTGATTTCTCTCCTGAGGGATGGGTTGAGGACCTGCTGGAGCCAAGGGCTCTGCTCATGGGTCAGCCTGGAAAGGGATCTAGGGAAGGAAAGTGCCAACACCCATGTCACTGAACCAACCCGAGCCACAGCCAGGACAAGGGCCTGAAAGACCAGGGACTCACAGCTAGGCCTGGCCTTTTTTTTTTTTTTTTTGGTACCAGGGATCGAACTCAGGACCTTGAGTTTGCAAGGCAGGCAGTGGCACCACGGAGCTAAATCCTGGGCCCTGGGCCTGGCTTCTTAGGGGCCACTTTTTCACATTCTGCTCTCACTGGTCCTGGGGGACTGAGAATCTGATACAGCCAGAGAGGACAATTAGCAAATGTGTCCACCCACAGTCTTGTCTGAATCAGATATAGAGATATACATACATATAAAGAGAATATACATTTCAGATAATATATTCATGTAAACTATATACCCATATTATAATACATGTTGAATATTCATAGGTACATAGATATAACATGAATTTCTGTCAAAGTAAATGATTCTAAATTTAATGAATTGACCATATACATTAGATCCCCTCCAGATCCACCGCCTCAGGGCTGCTTCCTGACAACACAGCCTGGGTCATGAAGCTCAGCATCCACCATCATCAACAGGACAGGCAGAACTGGGTCCTGCACATTGCAGGAGACTCTGCATGCCCTGTGGGGGATCCACTAGTGACACAAAGTAGCAGGTGTCACAGAGATGGGCAGTAGGTCTGGCCTGGAAATGCAGTTTTATGTCCAGAGGCAGCTTCTTCCCTGGTGGCTTCTGTCACACAGGGCACAACACAGCACATATGGCTTAGTGGCTAGTAAGTCAGAGGAAAATCACTCCACAACCCACTGGCAGCCTGCTGAGCAACATGCTGACTCAGTTCAGTCTTCATGGGAAATGTGGCTGCCAGAACTGATTACAACAGTTCATGCCAGTCCCATGTGTAAGCTTATGATCCTTCCACGAGTACGCAAAGTGGAGTCAGAACTAGAGGTCAACAATGTTCCAGAATGTGAGAGGAAAAGGCCTCTAAACTCAAAGAGGTGAATATCCAATGTGAAATACAGGTGATTTGTCCTTGTGTCTTCAGAGTAAGAAGGGGCAGAAACCTCTGAAGTCTAAACTCGATGATGCTGGTGAGACTGGAGGTCTCCTGTAAGGAAGGATTCGGGAGGGTAAGAAATTAGATTTCAGAGC